TGTGGGTCGGTGGCCAGACAACCCGACGAGTATTTATCGGACGTGTGGGGCGTCGAGGACAAGAAAGTCGAATTGCGCTGCGCCCTCCAAGAGCAGGGCCGACAATGCCTTACAGGGGTGAGAGCAAGAGGCAGAGGCGTTCGCTTTGTAAACGATAAGGTCAGGGTATAGCCATGAATGTGTCGTGCACGAAGGAGAATGGCTACGATGTAGCACGTTCGAGGCGCAGCGCGGCGGAGAGGCGAAAGTGATCAGCGTTTGAAGGAAAGCCGCATTGCGTCTGCGCCCCCACCAAGAGTACGGTAGGGTTGCCTATGAGGTGAGGGACGAGTTGTCAGAATGCGATCGATAAGCATCCTTATCTAATCAACAAAGGGCTGACCAGTCAGTCAGAACAGAACAGAACGGAACGGAACAGAACCAACAGCACCCACAGCGACCTCTCAAACATCCTTCTCCAAACGTACGACATAGCGTACGTGCGCACGCTGGAAGGACAAGAGACAGCCAATCAATCAATCTACTACTACATGGACACGCTCTTCCGCATCCTCTGCAGGCACTTGCGCACGTTATGGCTGCGCGCCCGCAGTTTCTTCCTCTCCATCAGATCCCGCCGACTGCACTCCGGTACCAGCAACGATCAGAGCACCACCGCCACTACGCGCACACACCGACCCCCTACCCCGATGCCAGCCCCCTCGACCGCGGGCCACATACCAGCATTGTCAACGGCCAGGGCGAAAGCGCGCAGGTGGGCGCGTACTCGCGCGCGCAAGCTCAAAACGCAAATGATAGAGCGCCACGTGGATAGGAAGGCGACGATAATGCAGATTGTGTATGCCCGCGTTGCTGCCGCAGGGACAGCGGGAAAGGAGAAAGACAGGGCAAATGTGACGAGCAAATGCCGCGCAGAAGACGAGGACGATGAAGCGAGCGACGAGGACACAGAGGGAACGATGGGACAAGCTGACGACGGCCTAGATGCATTCGAGGGGCTCTTCAGGTCACTGTCGTCGTCGCCCGCACTCCGCTTCGACACGTTGATGAGCTCCCACCCGCCGTTTTCCCAATCTCTATCGGTACCCTCGACACCAGGTCTCTTAACGCCCGCGCTACCAGAGACAGACCTCCCCCCCGAGCTTGATCCGGGGAATGGCCTCTCGAGCCCAATGATATCTTGTGCATCGTCGGGATCCTGCGACGGCAGTGCACCAACCACGCCAACTACACCATTCGGCTTTCCAGGCACCCGCATTGTCGATGAACCAACCTCTGTAACGTCGCGCCTGCACCTACGTCCACACCCGCGTCCGCGCGCCCAATTCCGCACGCTGTCGGCCTCTATCATCGCGCGTTCACCGCTCTCGTTCTCATTCCCTTTGTCTCTCTCGCTCCCACTTGCCGCACGCCGCGCGTCGAGCCCGGGCACTGTGACGCATCGATTCATGGACGACCACGGCGAGCACGACAGAGACAGCGGGGATGGCCGTAGTCGCACGCAAAGGGTTGACGACGGAGTATTTGGGGAAGATGGAGACGGCGTAAAGGAGGGTGAAGACCCTTTCGGTGCGAACGGGAGTGTGTATTATGGACCCGCTGCACGCGTAGCGCTCGGTCTTGGCGACGCGTACGACCTGTCAGCATGGGCATGGGCATGCGACCACTCGCCATACCGCCGTACGAAGCGGAAATACCATGACCAAGAGCATTGCAATGTCCAGGCGGCTCCCGCTACAAAGGTCATTGATACTACCGCCGTCATTGATTCTGGTAGCAGCGGGGATGGCACCAATATAGCCAGCGACACCAGATCCAGGTTCGTTTACCGCGCGCCAATATACGCCACATCTGCCCCGCAGCTGTCAGGCGTGCAATGCCAGGATGAGGAATCAGTAGGATACTTGCGCGCATTGGCAAACGCGACGGCTAGGGGAAGAAGGGTCTCGAAACCGCTTTGCGCCTGTCTGCACAAGTGTGCGCGACCGTGCCTCTGGGGATAGAATTGGGATCCGTCCGTTGTTGCTTCCGCAGAAATTCGGGCTGCCAGGCAGTGTAGCGGCACACAAAGCTAGTGCGTTTGTTTTGGGCGAACATGGGGGACAAGCGACTGGGTGGGAGCTGGACCTGGAAAGCGGAGTATGCGGGGAGAGAAATGGCGCAGAGATGTAGGGCTTGGGAGAACGAATCTGCCAACTTGGCCGCTGCTATTTGATTTGCGATTTCGCAGAATGCTCTGGATCGATACCCTCTTGTTTCAATGATATTTGTTGTTGTGAAAGAACGGAAACTTGAAGCTCATCTGGAAGTCACGAGTGAGAGAAGATCAACGGACTGAATTAATGCGTCAGTCAGGTGATAGATAATACAGTGGTTCTATGTCCCATTGACGAAATCTACAACAATTTTCTTGAATTCATTCGGCCTACGACGTGGCATCAGCACAAGCGACAGAATGCCGAGGAAAAGCAAACGTACTTTTCAGCGTGCACTAATATGCCGCAAAGGTTCAGTGGATATTCTGAGAGTCTGAGAATAATCATCCGCACGTACCCCAGTGGCCGGCATCTAACGTCTCGAGAGACATATTCGGGAAAAACTCCTTTGTGATGGGTATGTTGTTCTTGTTGATATACTTGCTCTTCGCACCCTTCACGAAAAGCGTGTTCCCGGGCCAAGATCGCTCACCCGGTTGATATGGGAAGCCGCCAAGGTCGGGGACCGAAGACTCAATGATATCAAGCGGGATTCGAAACTTGAACGGTTGAGAAGTGGTGTCAAGATTAGTCAGGAGAAACGCGCGCGTCACCGGGTCCTAGGAGGAAGCGCACTGTTAGTATTCATTCGTCGGAGACCCGCCATTGCGACTGGCGACGAACAGGCTCGTAAGGCGCGAGAACTTCCTGGGCTTCCCGTCGAGAGTTGACTTTGTGCCGCTCTATTTTGTTCATGGCGTCGACGTAACCTTGAAACTCGGTGGAGAGCGCGGCGCGTGATGGCGCGATATCTGCTACGATCAGATGTTCGAGGGCACCAGTGGGAAGCTCCGGGGAGAGGGCGACGGCCATGGCTACTTTGCCACCCCTGTATGGTAGGTCGTTTGTCTCATCAGTAACAAGAATATCGGAAGACGCTCGAGCCCCACATTGAATGTCCGAGAAGAGAAACATTTGAGAGCGAATGCGACCGGAGGAAGTGTAGGACGTCTGTGGCCATGATCTCGTAGTGCATCGGTCTTGCGTGAGGAGACAAGCCATGGTTGCGGAGGTCCTAGGATGGGTAAAAAATGTAAAAATGGATGGAAACCTTGGACTGAGCGATGCGATACTCACTAGGGTGTAGATGGGTCGCTGGAGATCGCGAAGAAAAGCCTTGGATAGCGATAGCCAATTCCGTCTCATCCCACTGCCACACCGTTGGTTACACAACCGGTCAAAAGTGAAGACGAAACAAGAAAACACACACAACAACCCATGGAGAATGACCAGAGGTCGTTCTTTGTTTGAGCCATCTCTGGGATAGAGAACATCGTAGTCGAGTTCAACGGGATGAGGCGCGCTTGTCCGGAAAAATCCTGTGTCGAAGGCAGCAGTGAGCAGAGCGCGTCTTGAACTGCAGAGATGGAACACTTGACTTTGCGAAGATCTCGAAACAAAAGCGAAAGGGAGTCGCATCTGAGAAAGCGAAAGCACCAGCTGAAGCGATGCCGTCAACGGCCATTGGGAAGGCGGCCGACCCTAAAGTCGTCGTGCTCAAAAAACAGAAACTCAACTTAACTTGGCTGCAACGGTGACGATCAAGAGGTGAGTTTCCCTCTCGTTACCACAACTTCGACAGGATGAATCTATATTCTTCATTCGAGCACACCTTTATACCTGAATGGTGCTGCGAGGACTGATATTTGTCATAGTTACACTGATCGGTGCTCACCATTCTCATTCTCCTCGCCTCTTTGTTATACTCTATCCGCTGACCTCTCCTTCCCCTACTAGCACCTCTGCTCGGCCAACGAGTCAAATGACAGGTGAGCCAGCGTGAACCATCCACTCTGCCTGTCAGGACGACACCAAAATCATTCAAACTAGAGTATCTGAGAGCTCCGGCTCGATGCTCTCATTCTTCGTACCATCTGAACTTCATCGCCTCGTCTGGCCCTTCGAGACAAGTTACTCATGCGCCAGACTCTTCCCATAACTTTAGGTGATCCGATCTAGCAGGGCTAGGAACCTCGCCCATGTGTGAGCGAACTTTCCCCCCCCCCTTGTCACTTCTCTATGATGTATCTTCATGGATTTACCGCCTGACCTCTTCCGTGGAATACGGTCTGAGATTGACGACAAACATGGCTGTTTTACTCTTCTGATCTACCGACCATTTACTGGTTTTCTAGTCTAGCGCTGATGATTTCTTCAATCTAGGTTGACTCAACGGGCCCATCGCAGTTGCATATTGTGTGGGTCCCTCGTTATATCAAAGTAAGTACCCCGCTCTCTCGCGACCTCGTTCGATTTCTCCATGATGCTCTTTAACACGACGGTCTTCGTATAATCGCTGCCGAAAGTGCCCGCCACAGCTCAAATTTTCGGGCAACCCTTCTGATTTTGATCTCATTTCTCATCTTGAGCATTTTGACTATGGTTGACCAGTTTTCTATCTAAATCTAGACACCCCACCTTTTCTCACGTAAGTCTGCTTGCTCTAAACCTACCTCCAATTCCTGTATTACTTTGGGATGAGAATTTCAACAAAGAACTAGAAGCTGTTTCTGAGCTTCGGCAAAGATCTTACATGCAAGGCTCTCTGAATTTCCCTGAACCAGTCACTCACGTTTTTACACCTTTACTGACAATGTTCTTCCTTCCCAGTGTGCCTTTGTCGGAGGTGATATTATTGTAGCACTGTCTGTCATCATGTAGCGTAGCCAGTCGTCAAATGTAATACCGACGACATCCAGTCATAGAATGTTTTGTCGTGGCTCATGAAATTTAACAAAAAAAACATTCGGATACGGGGAATCGAACCCCGAGCTGCCGCGATTTGTCTGGTCACATGCAAGAGAAATCCCGCGAAGACCCCTCCTGCATGTAACCCCCGGGTGAGAGGCGGCAATGTTAGCCGTTACACCATATCCGACGGTGCCAACTGCGTTTGCAAGGTCTGCTAAGATGCTGAGCTCGCTACTACCGACCACTTCACGTCGTGCTCGGACGGTCGTTCATTCCTCTACAGGTGGATTGCGGGATGAGGTCTCGCTCTCTCTCTGTTCTACCAAGTCGCCGGCCGAGTATTTTCTCTCATCAGGAGCAAATCGGCTCTGACTTCGAATCATACATATCCGCAGGGTCCTTGCCTCACTTTTGGGGAAGGGGGAAGGAAAAGATGGGGCGAGGCCCGGGGACGGCACCCCAAAAAAATGAAAAAATCTTCACCTTGTTGAACCACCACAGAACTTTGATACGGCGATCAGACTCTCTGCTCGAAAGAAAAAACAAAAAAAAACCTGGAACGATGGTCGTGAATGGACGCTTGATGAAGAAAGGAGGCATTTGTCCGAACGGCGACCACATAGAAGGCCGGCATTCCGCCGCGGAACACCACCTCACTCCCAGTGATTGTCGAGGGTTGCTGATATCCTGATTGGCTGATGCGGTGAGCAATCCCCGCCTGATATTCGAAATGGCGTTGTCGTGACCGGTCAGAGTCGAGATGGCGGACCCGCTGAACCCCGATGGAGAAGTGATCCGTTCGAAGCACGTACAGCCTAACTAGCGGATGAGGACCATATATCGGTAGCTTGGTTGAGGCAATCAACCATTGCTTCTGGGACTCGGGACGGTTCTCGGATATGGAAATGCGCCCTCGAAATATTTGTTGGCTGATCCACTGCTTGACATCATCGCAACAAGCGCGGAAGTCAGGTGGAATACAGGACTCGTTAATAACGGGGTGTTTGTTGACCCTAACTAGGACTAGGACGAGGTTGCGCCGAGATCTGCGTCATTGACGCCAGTGAGGCCACTCTTCCTGTGGCGGATGATACGTCCTCCCATGGCACGTAGTTTAGGACCAGTCAGGGGGCCAAAGCAGCTGGCCAGGGCACACTGTGGCTCACCTGAGGAACTCACCCGCCTAGCGCAACATCTCGACCGCGATTGACCGACGGGACGTGAATGGTCCACGTCTCAATCAGAGCAGTGTCATGGTGCTGGCCCTTTCGGTACACGATTTCTTGGTGCAGATTACTCTGACGAGGGACCCAGAGTCGAGATGATCATCCAGGTGCCGGAGAGTAGGCTACTGCTTCGCGTCCGTAGCTGAGTTCTCGGTTAGAGATTCTGAAGTTCGTGGCGGATCCCCTCGTCACAGATTGAGTTTGCAGACTAGATCGAAGCGATTTTTCATCAAATTGTGGAGCCGCTAAACTCACGATTCTGAGAAAGAAGGTCGGTTAGTTCTTCTTCTTCACCCAAGTGGAGAAAACTCGGCTGAGGGTATTTATACCTGGGGAATTCCACTGACGTACTTGGAATTATTGGCAGGGCCGGAAGCCTTCCACCCTCATCTCTACATGCGGGGTTCTGATTGATACGTGCCTCTCGAGGTCGAAACGACAAGTCACCTCGGTCGTGAAACCCGAAGTGGACCGACCGAACTCCTCCGTCTTCCCGAAAGTAGAGAGGCAAAAGCACGGGGGTGTTGATTTTGCCATAGATGTCGCATCACGAATCTGCAAAAATCGATCAAGGGTTCACCTACTTTGCCGTTGGTCAATGTATCTCGCTTTAAAAATAATAAAACCGTGTCTCGCTCTCCTCCGGTGAACCTGATGGCGGGTACCGGCTGCATATCCGGGAACCACGTTACTGACTCGTATGGAAGCAAAGTTTCGTCTATGGAAAGGGTGGTAGTGCCTTGACCGAATTTGCTTGATAAGGAGACGACACCTCGTAGAACGACGACCCGACCGTGACTACTCTGGTCGAGCCTCATTGGACCCGGCCATTTATTACTATCCCAGCGCAACCCATTTGAGGTCCCTCAGATCACCCGATTCCGCCGAGTTACCCGTCAAAGCAACGCACTACGGTGCCTCGGCTGCCGACCTGCCCGATCAGATACCGCAGTGTGGAGGAGAGAGTTTCTACCGCGTCGCGGCGGCTTCGATACCGTGCATCTCGACGATTTTTGCAAGGCGCGTACGGTCTGTCAGATCTAAAGCACGGCCTGATCGCGAAGAGAATGCGAAAGATGATCAAAAAATGACGAGCGATGGGTGTTCATTCCTTCGCTGGATGCCGAGTCGAGGGTGGTAGATGGTGAACGGACACCTTGACCTGGTCAGGACAACAATGGAGGTGGACAATGGGTCGGGTAAGGACTCGAGTGGCAAGTGAAAACCCTCAAACACAAGAACAAGGACCCTGGGCCTGGGCCTGCCACATACACTTGGCCAAGGATAGCGTCCGTGAAAATGAGCGAGGGGCGATGATCACAAGGGCAGCCTGTGTGAGCACCTGGAGGGTGTCTATGGTAGCGGCGCAGTTCTGCCGAGTGTCTGCGTGAAACTGGTGTGTGTGCGTGTAGCGCCGTGATGGGAAGGTGCAGCACCGCACTTCTTACTGGAGGACTTTTTTGAAAGGAATCGAGACGAGACAGGGATCACGGACATGTGATTTGAACAAAATATGTGAGAAGAACCTTGCAACCTATGTCCACCCAGGATTCACTGACCGCCGAGGATGAAATGACAGTACTGGGAACCGCGCAACATTGGTAAGCGGAAATACCCGGGAGGGAAGAAATAGCGAGAACAAGCGCGAGTGAGTGACTCGTTCCAATGCTTCTTGGCCGTCCAAGCGTTCTCTCGCCGTCTTGGCCTCATGTTCGGTCAGCTGTCCGGATAGCACGGCATAGCACTCTGAGCACGTCACTCCCAACGCCGCCCCCTTTGAAAGACGCGGCCGGTGCTGGTGACTGGTTGGCGCGGTTTAGAGCAAGTCGGATACCGAGAACGGCGGTCGACATCGCCTTTTCCCGGAGTTCCGGTCCCGGTGGTCAGGTGGGTCCCGCGATCATTCCCATCACTGCATCACATCGAACGAGTCTATCGCCGCGCAGAACGTCAACAAAGTAAATACAAAGGCGACAGTGCGATGCCCTTTGGACTCCTCTTGGATACCCCCCTGGGCGCGTGATGGCCTCCGACAGTCGGTCTGTAATCGACGTCTGTTGGTCTCTGTTGTTGCTGATAACGCCGTGTAGCCCTATTTCGTCAAATCAACACGTTCCATTCTATTGACATCGACCGTCCATCGTTCACAGGCACGGAATGTTGATGACTGTCTGTCCAAGGTAGAACCTATCCGTCACATCATTCCGATCTCATCCCGGACTGACAAGTCGACCATTTCCTGTAGTTGCATGCCCTCGTTTGTTCTGCTGCATCCCAGCAAATCCAGAATGAGCCATCAGAAGAGCAGAGGGAACGTGTGAGGGTGCTAGAGCGGAATGCGAATGCGCAGCGTCTGCTTCAAAAGGACAGACGCAGTCAGACAAAAAGACGACGGGCAAACTCGAAGCTTGATTGGGACTGACATCGAGGCTGCCCATCACGTGCTGGTCACTTGGAGGCTCCCCCCCGTCACAATGACGTCTTCAACCTTTCTCTGATAATAATGACACGCCCGACGCTTCTCCAAGATTACTGGCCAAACACCTCCTTCGCCGGCGATGCCAAGGCCGCCGTCTTTGAATTTATCGGGACGACCTTATTTCTCTTACTCGCGTTCGGTGGCACCCAGGGTTCGTACCATGTACAGGGGTCCGACCTCGAGCGGGCGCTCTACATCGCAACAGTCTTTGGACTTAGCTTGCTCGTATCCGCCTGGTTCTTCTTCCGCGCCACCGGCGGGCTCTTTAACCCGGACGTCAGCCTCGCACTCCTCCTTTCGGGCTCTATCGGCCCAAGGCGATTTGTTCTTTACTGCATCGCGCAATTGACCGGCGCCATCGCAGCGGCAGGCATCGTGCTCTCGCTCACTCCTGATCCACTTTCGTACAAGTACGTCCTCCCCTCCACCGTTATCGCTACGTCTGCTACAGCGGACTCGGCTAACTTGTAATCAGCACGGTTCCCTCCCGGGGAATCAACCATGCTCAGGCCGTGTTTATTGAGATGTTCATTACTGCGGCGCTTTGCCTTTCCGTGCTGATGCTGGCTGCCGAAAAGCATAGTTCGACCCCCTTTGCCCCTGTACGTATGTTAGCTCTCGCGTCCATGAGTCAAGTCATCCCGTCTGCTTCCCGCCAAAAGACTGACTGTCCTTCCGACCGTGCCGGAAAATCGTAGATTGGCGTGGGCCTGACGCTCTTCGCTTGTCATTTGTGAGTCGTCGTTTTCCCTTTCTCAACTTTCGAATGCCGGCCCGGTTCCGTATCACGTCCATCAATTGCGCTTCGCTAACGCGTGAACGCTGACGGTCTGTTCGAATTCCCGCCTCACGCGACTCGACGAAAATCGTAGATTTGCTGTGCCGTACACGGGTGCCGCCATGAATACAGCGCGTGCGTTTGGACCAGCGGTAGTGTCAGGGTTTCCGAACGACTCGCACTGGATCGTACGTTGAGTCTCTCTTGCTCGCATCACCCTTGTACCTGTTTCTCGCCCGAATTTGAAAATGGGGTTGAGAGAGGATCCGGACCCCTTGACCCACATCCCACCCCTCGCACGGGATGGAAAGGAATAGCTGACGCCATGGTGACAATTTCACAGTACTGGCTGGGCCCATGTCTGGGCGCGCTCCTTGCGACCGCGGTCTACATCAGTTTGAAACAGTACGTCATGGGCCCACTGCGCGTGGTCTCTGCTTTTGCGTTTCGAGGGGTCTGGGCGCTGACGCAAAGGACTGAACAATTTGTTATGTCGTGCCTCTTCGCTCCACAGCTACCAGTACTGGACCCTCAATCCTGGGCAAGACGCTACTGACCTTCAATCCTCGCCTCGAGATCTTGGGAGCGTCATACGCGCGGACGACCGCGTCGTGGAGAGAAGCAGCAGGGTGTGACGACGGCCGCACCCCACGCTGGAATGAGGCACGAATTTCGGGCCCCCCGTTCTGTTTCGGATCGTTTGT